TATTCGCAGTTTTGTCTATTTTTAGTACTTTTATTCTCGCACTGTCGAGGCTAACTTTTTACGTTCTCCCAAATTCAATAGTGATGGTGATCGTTTTTAGAGGTTTGGATAATCGGGTTTTAATCGGTAAATATGATTGTAAATATATAATTTTTAACATGCTGAGTTAATAGAGATGTGGATTTTAATCGAGAAATCAAAAGTTTATTATTTTACACGAAAAAAGGTATGATATATGATGCAAAAGAAAATATAACCAACAAATTTATAATAAATCAACATTAATAGAAAAAAAAAAGATTTTTTTTAAAAAAAAGCAAGGTAATCCGCCAAATATTTTTATTATACTGTGAAAAGAACTCTTTGATAATACAGTAATAAATAGAAAATTGAGATAATCGTATGTACACAAATATATATTAAAAGCCAAAAACGACAAAGAATTTGAAATGATGACTAAAACATTAAGGATCCTCACTGCTAAAACTACCCAAACTACTAAAACTTGAGAGATAAGGATCGCCTTCTTGGATTAACACAGGGTCTATTAACCCATTGATGCCTAACATAAACAAGTCATCTTGAAAATATTAGATTCTTGGATTGAATCGACTCGAAATAGAAGGTTGTTGACCATGCGGTTGTGACGGTGAGATTATAGCTCCAGGTGATAAATATTGGGGTATTTGTTGTTGAGAATGTTGTGAAGTTGAAGGTGGCACTATAGCAGTAGAGTTTACGTGCTGAGACGTTTGTGGTTGGTAGTATTGAAGATATTGTTGTCCAGTAGAAGTTGCTAAGAGTACGGAAGGATTGATAAATTGTTGCGGTGCCGTTTGAATATATTGATGTTGACCTGCAGGCATCATACCACTTGAGGTTAAATATTGTTGTGTTATTTGAGCAGCAATATTTTGTTGAGAAGGGATGATCTGCTGTTCCATGATCGTAGGCGACAAATAATGTGAGGAACTTCGTCTTTCTTTATACATAGGTGTGTAGTGAGTTGTCATCCCTGGTATTTGTGTTGATGTATTGGGGTAAGTATAGATCATCTGTTGACTATTTGAAGAAGGCCTGATAGGTAAAAGCTGTGTCAAATCAGAACTTGTCAAATTATTTTGATATGATCTACTATGATCAGGTAAAGTTTGTACTATGTTCTTTGTCTGTAACAACGCTGAATTTTTGTCCGATCTTATTTCTGCGGATTTTTCATCCTGAAGTCGTTTTGTAGCAATATTGATATCATCAGCATTAAGATGGACGGTGTCTGGGAGGATAATAAAATGGGATGTCAGAGATTCTGAGCTCGTCATAACAGGTGGCATGTTTGAAGTTATCAAAGGAGTAGGTGGTGTTTTGTATTCTTGATCTTGGACGTGTTGTTGATTTGTGTTGTTTGATCTTTTACGTTTTTTACCAGTATTGTTCCTCGATTCTTTATTTCTTACCGGAGAGTATTTATAATTTGGATATAGTAATGTGTGCTTTAGTTTCGCAATTTCTGTTAATTTTATCCAAAATTGGTATTCATGCTGGTTATCTCTCTTGATAGCAGCCCATCTTTCTTTTGCGATTTTAGACGACTTTGGAACGTTTTTCCCAGTTCTTTTCTTATCGCCATCACCAAGATTATGATCACCTTTTTGTGGATTGTACTCGGCGGTTATATCGTTGCGAAAAAGTATAAAACAATTTTGTGGACGTGGGATGGTTTTAGCTCTAGTATTGACCGAAGAATTCCATAAATGATCTATTCGTTTTGTTGTTCGAATATCACCATATTCACGAACGAGCTCATTTACCAAGTGTACCACTTCATGAGGCTCATTGCTAAGATCTATTTCTTGTCGAGCGATGGGCATTCGGCCGGCTTCACGTACAACTTCAGATGGTGAACTAGAACGAGATCTAGGTGCTTGTATTTTAACTTTTGGCATATTGATGTTTTTTTTAAAAAAAAAAAAAGAAAAAAAATACAGCAGTAATTTTGTATTTATCTTTTACGTATTCTTGAAATTTTATAATACTTTGGCAAACGATGAAGAAAGAGAAAATTCCAACAATTTCAATATATTTATATGTCAAAAGATCTGTGATGGCGTATGTGATCAGAAAAGGTTCCGATTTATATTTTTGACGCGTAATATAAAAATACTGATTATATAATACATTTAAATACAATTCTGCCCATAGCAGAATCCGAGCTAAACTTAAAGATTATTTATTAGCATGTACATGTATATTCCATTTAGGGAATAAAATTGCAACTTAAACTTGCGCACGGATAAATTGCGCACGGATG